TTTTACCAGTAACAATAATCGAACGGGAAAAGGTTTTAGATGCGATTAATCCGTTTTAAACACAACAATAAAATTTAACAATAAAAATTTCGAAAGCTTATTTTATAAAAAGATCAAAATCACCTTTTTCAATGAAACCACATTCTTTTATCTGTAATGTTGTAAAGAGAAGCAAAATAAATAGCAACTTATAATGTTATTTTTACTAAATGATATTATACACAGACAGAAGATACGATATGTTACGTTCGGGATACAATATAATGAATAATCTCAGGTGTTCAGGATATATTCGAAATGTAATCCACTTTCTGCAACACAAAGCTCCGCTCTTAACGCGAAAATAATTATAATTATTTTAGTTTTAAATCAACCACACACATTTCTTTCTTTCAATATATAATATTTTTAAAAATATTGCGAAACAGAAAGAGAGAGAGAGAGAGAGAGAGAGAGAGAGAGAGAGGACGCTCCGCGAGACAAAGAGCGATATATCGAGAGGTTATAGCAGTGATAAAGCATTCAGTACATAACGCAAGCAGAGTTCCCGCGCGAGGGATGTTCGCGTTTAACGCTCAAACCAAATCCCATCGCGTATCCATATCGAGCAGACGTTATAAAAGTAAAGCTCAGTATCAGACACATCCGCATTCAGCGGCGGGAGTGTAACGGCATGAACGCGAAAGTCGTGTCCCGAAGTGCCTCCTCTTCGGAGAAGAGATCCTCTCGTGCGCAGCTTCACACGAGTCGGGACATTGCGGCGCTCACAGAACGGCGCGTCATCCACTCCTCCCCCTCCGCCCTACCTCCGGTTCGGATGATGATATCGCGCTATGCCGCCGTAAAAACAATTCTCAACGTCGGGCACGGTGCGGAACATCGCCGGCTGGCGATGCTCACAGTGAAATCCCCCTCGTTTCAGGGAAAACGACGGCTTAAATAAAGTCGCGCGCGCGCGCCCCCTTTTTTTACGACTGATATACGTTAGCCCGGATGTTAGCAGCAGCCCCGCGATCGGGGGAGACAACGACTTATCTACCTACCTACATTGAGCCGCTCGAAACATCCTCGGGGATATCCGACGCACCTGGCGCGGCCACTCCGTGGCTTCATGGAGTCGTTCTCTTCGCGGTCGTCAGAGGTGACGGAGATCCCGGAGATCCTCCACGTGATAGAGTCAGGGCCGAACCCGCGTGTCTGAGACTCAACTGAGAACGGGCTAAAAGCTTCGATAGAAAATTCGGGGAAACTCGACGATATTAAAACAACACAGCGTCTTTTCGCTCGGGGACGAAAGTGGCGATAAATTAGGGGCGTCTGATATACAATTTTCAGGAGTTGAGGGGATATCCCCCGGTTCCACGCGGCTCCAAGCGGATCGTGCATGTTTGCGAATCAATGCTGGCGCGAACAGAATGCGCGGATATACGAACCATATATTTTGAAAATCCCCATAAAGGATGCGGGCCTCGCTCAGCGTTTATCTCGTGAAATATGCAAGCACTCGAAAGCGTTTTCCTGAGATAATTACAGATTATTATATATGCCGGTTATTATTTAATATAATTATTATTATTTAATATAATTAGCACAAGATGAAAAAATAAAAATTTAATTCCGCGTTATACTGAGAGAAAAAATGTCTAAAAGATAAACAATATTTATTCTCGCGCGGTGGATACTAATGACATATCTACTTATACTAATATAAAATATTTGAAATGTGTAATGGATGAGCAACATATATTTTTAAATTATATTTTAGTTATTTTAATGTTCAATGTTTTATTTATATTAGTGTAATGATTAATGTTCAATATGTAAGAGAAAAAGAAGGAAAGACGCAGGTGAAAATAAAAATTGTAGAACGGAAGCCATCCTAAGCCGCAAGGCAAGAGCATTATGTTGAAGTAATAATAATAACATAAAATATTTCTCGAATAAGAAAATATACATTTTCTTAATATCTTTTCAAGAAGAAAATTGTTGATTCTATTTAAATAAAAGAATTCAGATTCAAGTAAATATGTTATTACCCAATGAGAATAAACATTTTTTTATTTTTTAATGTAGTTTCACAATGTAGTTTTACAACGTAGTTTCTTCTCCAAGTCAAGCGCAAGCATTTCTCCAGCACGAAAAAGCAAATTTTCATTTTCCTCAACGAACTTCCACGATCGTAACATCGGAACGACGTTGCAATGTGTAATTCTCACGATGATGAAATTGTTCTTATCTCCTCTTTACTGACGCCTATCCGACGATCTATGTTATGTGAAGAACTTCAGCTCGGCAGGTCTCGAACGATACGGTACTGAACAGGACGGTTGGTAAGGGTGGCTGCGAAGAGCGGAACAGAGCAGCAAGGGTCGGAGAGTGATGCGCTGCTTGACCGTGGCCCATACGTAAGCGGACGAAATTAATCGCGCAATAAAACGGCGGCCAAGCTAACGGCCCTGAAGTGTTAGTGCGCACCGAATTCCGGAAAATATATCGTTCACACCTGCGGGACGAGCAAGGTGAGGTCGGTCCAACGTTAAGGTCAACTTTATTACCCTAACACCGGCTTCCCCCGCCGACTCAATCCGCCGAGACTATAAAATTAGCCTCTCATTTGGAATCGCGCATGAAACGTGACTGAAATTGTTTCAACTACGTGATATCCAATTCCCGACGAAATTAAATAAAAGGCAACTATCCGATACATATATAGACGTGTACTAATAATTATTATAATGTGTAATTTACATGTATATAATAATAATTATTATAATGTGTAATTTATGTGTATATAATAATAATTATTATTATTATTATGTGTAATTTATGTGTAGTTTTATATATAGAATGTTTGTGTCTGTATGTTCTCTATTAACTCTAAATCATTTGATCGATCTGAACCAATTTTTACATAATTACTCTATAGGACTCTGCGGAAAATATAGGCTACCACTTCTCCCCTCTCTTTGATTTTATCCTGTTGACACTTTGTGATAATTTAAATTCAGGTGTCTAAATAGAAAATGCCCGGACAACGCCGGATAGTTTAATATAATGTTATCATCAGAGAAAAAAGGAGTATAGCTTTTTCATAGGTGGAAGAAGAAATGAGGAAAAATAATAATTATTACATCATATTATTGTATCGAACAATAATTATTACATAATAAAATGATACTAGTAGAGTAAGCGATATAAATCTATGTGTGTATATTATAAGAGTAATATATATAATAATAAATGTAGATAATATATTTAAATATAAAATACTCTATATAAAATACTCTATTAAATATAAAATATTCTATATACATTATTTATAAATATTATTTTTATTATTGCAGTTCTCAAATATCGCGGAAAAAGCGGGCGAATTTTCGGTTCTAAGGGCAAGTCTACGAAATGAGCAGTCGACGCACCCATGTATCTCGCCGTTATCATGCGTCCCTCGCAATCTCCGAACCCTCGAATAAGAGAAGTGCATCACGTCGTTTCTTCCCATCTCATCTCGCCTCTCACCTGGCCTCGCTTTACGTTGCAACACCGCCTCGAAGAGTTCGATAAAGGAGCAAAGTGTAATTCAATGCTGGCGGACGTGCGCAAGCGGACAGAAGTAACCGCGCGATAACACGGCATGCCACGATGAGGAGGTAGTAATTAAGACCTCAACTGGTCCCGAGGGACCTACCTCTCCCGGCGTCGCGCGTCCTTATATCTTATCGCGCGGCGCGCTCGACTGCTCGATGCGTGCTCTCATGGCTCACTTCTACGTCCATACACATTCTCACCTGAGACGACCACGTTTCTCCTACAGAACGCACGCAACACAAGCGATCGATACGTTCTTTTTTCGGTAGCGATATTCATTTAATAGAATACACAGGCCGATTGATTGCGCTCGGAATGGATTTCCTAGTGAGGCTAGAGAACCGAACTTTCTTCGTCGTAGCTCTGTTTAATATTCGGTATCGACGCTTCTCATATTGAATCTTAACACTTTATCCACTAACAACATTGGTAGAAACTCACACAACACGCAGAACTAAAAGATGTTTTAAAGACGTTTTCATGACATTACCAAAAATCGCCTAAAAAACATCTTATTTCAAATGTCTTTAAGACGTTACTCAAAAAGCGTCTTAAAGATCTTAAAATATCTTATTTTAGATGTTATCAAAAGAAGTCCGAAAAAGGACGTCTTTAATATATTTCCAAAGACGTCTTAAAAGCCGGTATTCATAGTCAGATTATATTTAAGATCATCTTAAGTACTATTTTAAGATGTCATAAACCAATCACAAAGCCGTATTCGCACCTTAAGATATTACTTCCCACACAGCACGTAATATTATATAATATTACAGTAATATTTCCGTAATATTGTAATATCGCAGAAATATTATTGAAATATTACTGTGATATTATATATATCACGTGCTGTATGGGTTAAGACGGTCTTGAAATAAGTTTCGACTATAAATACCGGCCAGACATCTTATTTCAGATGTCTTTATAACGTCTATTGAATGACGTTTTAAAGCTATGTGTGACTGTCTACATTACAGATTATGAGATTTATACATGCTATTGCTGTAACAAATATCATAACGACCTCTTAAACCGGAATCAAACTACGCATTGGAGATTGATGATTGCGGATTGATGATTGCTATTTGACCATTTGGAGCAAAGCAAACCAAAACGGAAGTTTGTTAATTCGTCAAAACCTAATCTTCAACCCACAATCCTCAATCTCCAATGCGTAGTCTGATTTCGGCTTTAGAATTTGCGAACGTTATGTATGTACAGAATAAAAGACGTCTAACCCGCCATTAAGTAGTACTGCTTCATAAAGCGGAGAGATGTGTGTCCGACCCAACAGTTAGTTATATTACGTTCAGTTCTCGTTCAGGAAAGTGGCGGCTCGTAGCAGAGACTTCGGAACTAATATACGACGTAAGAATAACAGGTCTAGTAATCTCTTAAACCCCTTATTTACTCACCCAGCGCTGCGGTCGACGTTGAATTCACCTCTTAAGTTGGTAATAGTGCTGCAAATTCAGGAGATTTCTCCGCGACATAAGTAGTCTGTTCTTTTCAGCTGCACTGTTGAATTGGTGCAATAAATTAAAGTGAGACAAGTATATGTTTTCTCGCTCTAACTTATTGTACCAATTCAGCAATGCAGCTGAAAAGAACAAACCAAAGGTCTCCTGCGCATGCGTAGAGTAACGTTGCAGCCTGGATATTTGATATTATATCGTTACGTCATTCTATGCATGTCTCCTGAGGTCTTCTGTCGCGAAGAAAATCTTCCAAGCTAGCACTAGTTGGTAGCACTGTCGAGAACAGATTGCGAGGGGAATAACGTATTTCGTGAATTTTGTCTCGTGGATTTCACGATTTCGGCTCTCTGAATACGAGTTTCACGTCTGCATCATCGCCGAGAGTGCCAAAAGTAAGTGTCGTGCGTTTGTCGTAACGAGATATCGTAGAATGAACATTAGAAATAAGTATGTCGTGGAACAGTTGGGAATTCCGAGAAAAATATCGCGCGTTCGTCACGTCAGTGATTCGCTATAAGCGAATATTCGGAGTGTTACGATGAAGCAGCCAGGATCTAGGATAGTATTACCAATGTCAGTGTCAATGCAAAAGGTCAAGATCAGGATTAAAACCCTAAGTGAATATGTGGAATGTTACGACAAAGTAGCCAGGAGCTAGGATGGCAATATCAGTGTCAGTCATAATGTCAGCCCAGTAAGCAAGGAACATTAAATTAACGTTTAGAAACGTTGACTTTATGTGCATTGTTTGGACATTTTTTAATAATATTGCATTTATATTTTGGGATGATTTTTCTGAATGTTATTTAAACGTTTTAAAAACATTACAAAAAATATATTTTTCAAATGTTACTTTAACATTTATTTGAGATCAATGCAATATCTTAAAAATATTTCTGCCGATTAAAACATTATAGCAACCCTATTTCAACATTATTGAAACTTCCAAATCGCGGTCAAAGTATGTTCGTAATGATATTTGATACAATATTAAACACTACATATTTGACAATATTACAGGTTCTTCAATATCATTGTAGCAACGTTGTATTAATGATTTCTTGCTTACTAGGAGTGTAAGTAAATATTCAGATTACTACGACAGAACAATAAAAAGGAGGAGATATAAGATAGAATAATATTCTACATCGTGTTAAACTAATTTGCGTATATTTAGAGAATCGTCAATTTCTCGTCATATTTATATTTTTCACAATTAATAAATCGGCAACGTATAGTAACGTTTAAGTGAGCAGGTTGTACGGCAATAAGTACTTTGATATTAGATTCAATTTTTGTTACTGATATTTTAATTTACTTTCGTTTACTTGGTAATCCTTCTTAGATCAGTGCGCTGCGAATATTATCATAACTGAAATCCCGATAATAATTTATATTTTATTTACTTTCGAGGCTTCTCAGATAACATAGAGAATTCAAAAAGAATTCGAAAAGAATTTAGTCGTATATCACCAATTCTGAGTTCAATAATTTATATTTTATTTACTTTCGGGGCTTCCCAGATAACACAGAGAATTCAAAAAGGATTCGAAAGAATTCAATCGTGTCATTAATTCTGAGTTCATTTTCAGATGCAAAAAGAATTCTTCAGAGTTCAGTTCAATGAAAAGAATTATTATTCCCATACAGCACACAAACGTTGAATTAACATTTCAGAAACGTTGCGTTGCGACATTGCAATATTGCATCAACATTTTGAAATGTAAATTCAACATTGAAAAGACATTGTCGAAACGTCTAATGTCCGCTGAATTGCAATGTCTTGTAGACGTTGAAATTTAATATTGTCAAATATTGACTTAACATTGGCCGCGTTTAGCGACAGAAAATTTTTTTTACAACGGTTGGTAGTTTTCTGTGCTAAGATTGGATTTTACAGATTTATTAAAACACTAATATGTAAATATTAAGAATATTGATTGATTTTCTTCGTTATTCAACGTATAAAAATATTAAAGTAATGTTGTTGAACAATTAATATAATAGTTTAATATAATAATTAATAAGATATTTTGTACTGAAAAATATTAGGATATAATATAAAATATTTCGGAAAATATTCACATTTTGATTATTTCCTCTCAATACGCAGAATAACTAAAGAAATCGATTTATTTTAAAGGAACTATATGATTCTACATAAAAAATTAAATGTAAATTTAACATGATTTAGCAAAGTCAAAGTGAATAGCATCATCAGACTATATAAATTGTTTGAAACATTTTTCGATGAAATTCTTGATTTTCGAAAAATTTGCATCAATTAAAAGCCAATTAAAAGTCAATTAAAGTGCGATTTACAAAAAATGCGTCATTTAAAAGGGTATATAAAACTTCTTTTTAGTATCTCTACTTGAATTTTAAAAGATAATTTGTTCAATATTGTTTCTATATATAGCAATATAAAAAATCAATGTAGAAAAAACAATATAGATACAACGTTGGAAAGATAGATTTATATTTCAACATTCAACATTACAACATCTCAGCAACGTTGTTTCAACTTTCTGTGCTGCATAGGATTGTATCTAAAAATGAACTCAGAATTGGTGACATACGACTGAATTTTTTTTTAATTTTCTGCGGTATCTGAGTTATTACTCGAGAACGGGTGATCGGACGGGAATATGCGGTTTCCACTGCTATTATTTATTTGGATAGTAGAGGTACGTTATGTGTTTCAAATTTTTTCCTGATGCACCTGATATTTTTTGTGTCTGTTTTGCGCTAAAATCTCGAGGTTTATTTTTTGAGAACGCAATACGCAGTACAATGGTTTGTTTTGACTGCGGCGTTATGGAAGTCTGCAGTGATTTGTTTCCGGATTTGCAAAAAATGAGCTTGTAACAGGAGCTGATATTCGTATGATGATTCTGTCGAAGATTGCGAAATGAGACGGTTTGATGAAGTGCTTGTAGGGTAAGATCTCAGTCTCGGTATTCCATGAACATAGAAGGGCAATTAAAACAGTATACTAGACAAACTAGGTGCTGAGTTGCTAAAGTTTCAAAGCGTCTCCTCGAAGATGCAATACGCACTGGCGTGAGTTTGTCTGGCTAAATGTAACATTATTCTACAAATCTCTAAAAAATTGATAAAATCGATTATTTCCACTGTTTTTTAACAGATTTCAGAATCAAGCAAAGATTTCAAACCCATCCTTGCCATATTTAAAAATCTTTCTTGTGCTTAATTCTTACGTAACTTATTTAAAATTATTGTAATTTATTTAAAAAATCAGAAATAATTGGTTTTGCTAACTTACCTTGTCAACTAACCACGGTCTCCTCCATAGTGGAGTGATACATTATTTTCATACATATGAGTTCGAAAACTTTACGGTTTTCTCCATTTGCAAATTGATTCTATCATTATCCGTGCCCACTTGGAATCCTATGTTCTGTTATTAATCGTTCCATCGTTGTCAATCCATTACTCTCTCTAGTATTATACCATAAATCCTTCAATTGATAAGACTCTGCTATGTTGATAAATTCGAAGTCTGCAGCTTCCGAGTGACCTTTATCTTATCAGTATCGACGAGCATAAATAACAAAAGTAAATCTTCTAAAGTTGTTACATGAATCACAAACGTTGCACTCATTTCACAATTTGACAAATAGGGCCCGTTGATTCGAATCAGGTTGCGTGCTACTTTCTTTCCGCGAGAATATTTGGCTTACAACGTCGATGAATCCAAGTGAGAGTAGACTTGACACCTCTAGAATAGACTAGACAAACAGCCACGATTCTGGCTTTATGGCACTCATGTATTGTTTCGCAGACAGCCCGGAATCGGCGAATCGAAAACTGCGCTACCTGGCAGCCATGGTAAGGAGTATTGATAAAATGGACGTGCAACCTTTACTAGGAACATTCCAGGCGCTTCGTTCTTTCGACGTTAAGGATGTAAAAAAAGTGATTTCTTCCCGAAAACTCTAAATTATTAACACATTAATTAAAAGTAAAGGAAAATAACGAGCAATCGTTTTATATTTGCTATTACACCCAATTACTGCTATTGTACATGTAATATTTTACAGAGATTTTATTTGTTATTTTCTTGTAGCGACTAGCCTTCTAGAATTCTATACTGATGTATGACGACGAAGAGATATATATTGGGCAATTTCATCGGAGTTCGTCATTCGCTTCGGCGTCTCCTTAATCGCGACAACGAAGCATGAATCAACATTGGAATCGACCGACAGCGCGACGTAAGCCACCCCTAAACGCCGCAAAACGCTATCCCGCCGATTTGCAACTAGGAACGGCGCGGCGCACAGCGATCGCCCATTAATTACCAACGCCAATCATCTTATTACAAGCGCAAGCTTGCGCGCACGGCGCGCACATGGTCGGAATACCGGGAATGCAGGCGCATTATCCTCGTCTCGATCGTACGTAACGCTGATAAACGCACGCTCGATGGAAACGAGCGCGAGCGCGCGCACGATCGCCGCCGACCGCGGTAATAGACAGTTTACATTCGGCAATCCTGGCGAACAGCGAAACGTTTACCGTGGCGGTAACCGATCGTTACATCCACCGTACGTTTCCCGATGGCCAGCACGATCCTCTCTCATGAGTTACTGAATCCACAATCAGCGGGGAGAGAGAAACGAGCGGCGGTGGCGTGAGGGGCTGCGTTCTGCGGCCAACGTCGCGTTGCTGCACGTGCAGCAAAGTCGCTAAAGATCACGGTCCCGCATGCGAAAGAGCAGTACATCGCACTGAAACATCATAAAATCGAGAGATTATTCTCTTCGCCTCCTTTTGAGAGATATCGAAATTAATAAAACTCCAGCAACCGCGCCGACAATGGTAGCAGGACAGAAGCCCCTTTACAATAAAATAAAAAATGTAAAAATAGAAAATGTAACATCAAAAAAGTTATCAAATTCTGAGCAAAAGTTTAGAATCTCAAGAAAAAATATAAAAAACGCGAATTATTGAATTAATCGAAAAGTTAGATATGTTTTTGAGTCCGAAATATAACTTTATTGCAATCAATGATAAGAAACCATTTCATCGACCAAATGCCATCGTTGTCCTATAGTCTTTCGATAACATCTTAGAAACATTCGTGCATCTTGTATAAATTAATGTATCATCGAAAATAAGAAAAGATCGAGTCGCTTTGACAATTCTAATTTAACCATATTTAAACATGCAGTCACACATGTTTAAACGTGCAAAACATGTTTAAACGTGCAGTCACACATTCTAATTGTCGCCTTTTACGACTTTGTTTTCAAAGAAAATGTTTTGGATTTGCGTCATATTTTAAACTGATATTTATCGCCTTCATTAATAGTAACGAACAGTAAACATCATGTTCACACAGTCGAAGTATCTAACGTTAAAATCCACCAGTTTCCATCACCTTCCAGGCGACCGTCTGATTCTTCGAAAGCTCCTAAGATATCCACAGATTTCTTTTTAATGCAATATTCGAAACGCTTTTAAATTAGTCTGTCTCACAACACTCACTACAGCACGCATCCCCCAGCACAGCATCCTCGATTATATCCAAGCACAACACGAGATCGCGCGCACTTGAGGATTTCTTTCTGAAAATCGGAACCATCGAAATCGACGACAGCGGTCGCGATAGCTATTGTAACCGAGAACTCGCTCGCTCACTCGCTCGTTCGAGTTTTTGGCGGTTTACCCTCGACCGATGGGGCGCAAATTCGAGAGGGTCCATCGTCAATGGGGGCAGGTGAACCCGACATGCACGGATGCATGCGCGCCGGATCCCCGCTGCACTTGAGATGCATCCGGGCGCGATTAATGCGCTCGAAGGTAGGATAGCAAGATAGGTTCGTTATTTTGATAGCGTCCTCGCGCATCGCATTCACAGCGCCCGCACGGAACGCTCGCTCGAATTGAGTTAAAGCAGCGGAGCATTGCGGGACTCGTTCGCGAACTTCTACCTCCGTCGGAGACGGTCGGAAGTATAATATAATAAGTTAGATTACAACAATTATGAAAGGGGAACTACTCTCTCCCTCTCTCTCTCTCTCTCTCCCCCACCCCCTCTCTTTCTCTGTCGCTCTTTCTGTCGCGAACGGACCGCGTCGAAATCAACGGCGTTAAAAATCATTTCGCAAATCGCGAGCGCGCTCTGCGGAAAATCGCGCGAGAATTTGCAGAAATTTTCATAATTATCGCATATTGTGTTAAGCAAAAAACGTCCCGGTTTCGTCGTCCTCGCCTCTCTCATTATTGTTGTTGCCATTGTTGTTGTTTTATCGCGCTTTATCCAGTTGCCACGTCGAAACTCGTATTATTTATTCACGCGCCACGTTTATTCATTTTTACAGATACTATATTTCGTTATTTTAATGTGACGCCCGATTTCACGCGATTACACGCGATAATGTGTCGCTGTGTTATTCGCATTCCGTGTGCAACAACGCGACGCTCAACAATTCCCGGAGCTTTCGCTATTTGTTTTAATTTCAGGCGAGAAAACTTATGGATTGTAAAATAAACGCTTCGACATTTCTCCTCCGCACTCCGATTCGCGTGCGCGCGCGCGCGCGGGTAATCGCGCCGGGAATTAAAGATTCATCGGGAGCGAGGCTCGTCGTATCGACCGGTTTATTTATTAAAACACGCTCAGTTATGCAATTTGAAGTTGACGTTCCGTCGGACATTGACAGGAGCACCGTAGTCGGGCGAGATAGATGGACAGAGGGATGGAGAGCGATAGGGAGAAAGAAAGTGAGCGTTCTGCTTTCCGCGTTTTTTTCGCGTGGGCTACATCTCGCAGTTTTTACGACGCGCGTCACCCGGCCGCGTATCGTGTAACCGGGCACCTTGCTAAATTACACGCTCGCGCACGCCGGGAAGGTGCATTTCAGCAGATAAGCCACGTCAGCGCGTCCCGGCCGCGCGCGCGGCTTGCCGTTATATAACACAAAAGGCGGAAACTTTCGGTAGCGTGCGCGCCGCGTATAATGCGAAGGAGCAGCGGCGGTTGTTGCGGAGAAAACTAAAGGATCTGGAGCTAACCCCCGCCGCCCTTAGCTGTCACTTCGAGCATGTAATGCATCCGTGCACCTATGCCGCATGGTGCGCCGTTCCGTCCGCGCACGACTGCGCGCTTCTCTCCTCCTCCTCCTGCTTTTCCACCAGCTTCCCTTTTCTCCGCGCCGTGGATTGTGGATATACTCTCGGGGCAGAGGAGGTGGCTTTCACGGGCCCGTGAACCCTTTCGAACGTGTCCGCGATGATCGCAAGCGATAGCGCGCACCGAAATATTTTGACCGCGCGCGATCCTTCGTTCTGTATTCGCGGAGTGAATCGTTTCGCTCGTGTCTTTATAGCGGAAGACTCGACGGGCATTCGCTTCGCGAAGTTTGAATTGTGAAGGGTTGCCTCACGGTTTCTCTGTGCTTTTACCTAGCCAGTTTTAGATTACACAGTTTTTGGTTAGACAGTCAAAAAGAGTTCAGTTACCGTAAAATTATCGTGAAATACTTTTATAAATATTATGCGTGTGAAATATATCCCAGAGAGCATAAATTACTAAAAGATGTCTGGGATGTCATGTAACAAATATAATGATACAACATGAATTACTGATTACCCGGCGTGGATGACAAGTTATCCATACAAATCTTCAAAAGACGTTTTAAAGACATTCATTCCAAAAACGTCCCACATGCAAAAAAAGAACTAGCTTCCAGAGCTAAAAAATAGCTGTGACAGATGTGTCACTGAAATAGGGACAGCTAATGTCGATACTACCGAAGCTAAATTTATTCGCTGTTACTTAGGCGCTATAGCAAGAAATATTAGCTGCTAAAAATAAATGATTGTAGCTGTACGGCAAACTTCTTTAATATATGCATACGATAAGAAATTTAGGAATAACTGCCATTTTCTTAGCTACTTGAAATAATGTGCATTTTTAATGTCATCTAATATATTTGTATTTCATAGCGAATGCATCTTAGCTGTCATAGCCAATTCTTAACAGTGACAGCTAAACGATTAGCCTTTTGACTAAGTTTGAATCAGCTATCGCAGTTTAGCTGATATTACTAAATCATTTTTTTGCGTGCAAAACATTCTCTGGAAATTTTGCTATCTGAGTATGAAATTGATCTAGCACGAAATATATTAAAATCAAATTTGACTTTATTGCATTCAATGAGAACAAATTGTTCATCCACTGAAGTAATCGTCGTAGTTTATGATCCTTTGCCAAAATTTTGATAGATTTTGCATAGATTCATCGCGAAAGAAGTAATCAGTTTTTTATCATCAAAGAAAACAGAAAATCGAACCGAATTTTTTTACTGAGCCAATATCCGAGCATTCATAGATTTCTTCGCTGATTGAATTTCGGATACAAATATGTAGACATGCAGTTAATATAATCTTTCGCAGAATACGGCGCGACATCATTGTGTGTTTTAGGATTACGAAACACTGAAGATTAAATCGCTCGGGAAGAATAAGAAAAAACAAACTCGCCGTTACCGAGGGAGACACGTTGCACGTGGCAAAGGTCGCGCGACGACCAGGGCTCTCACGTCCTGTTCTCGGCGATTTTTCCCGGGGAGTTGCACGCGGAATTACGAGAAACTTAGGGCTAGCCGGCAGTTGCGCGAACAACACGCGAACTCCCTAAACTGACTAACACACGCCGCACTTTCGTGCAGCGGGTGCCGCTCAGCAAACGGCAAAACTAGACGCGACACACCACAAGCAGCCACCGTCGCGCCCCTCTCTTCCTCTTTCTCTCTTTGGCATTACTTCGGGCATGTAATGGAGCTCGCGGGGCCCCGACGACGACGACGACGACGAGAACCTAAATGTGCATCCTTTCCACGCAAATACCGCTGCGGTACCAGCAGCGATGGCGAGAACAAATATTTGATGGAACGCGCACGATGTATAAATTCCTACGGCGAGGGACAAGACCCCACGAGAGACCGTGGAAAGTATCGCCAGGGATCGCGAAATCATGTCGCTCGCATTGTGAATTTATTTTAAAATTATATGCTGACATTAGGACCCGCGGGAAATGTCGCGAGAGAGTTGCGCATAACGCACGAATAACGAAGGTGATTGCTAATAATGTGTTTGAACGATAATAGATCATTGTCAATATTCAAAATGTTTCTCTTTTCTTACTCTGTTCTTTTGAATTTTATATATTGTTATTTTATATTTTTTTTAATTTTGTAATCCTACTTATAAGTAGGAAGTATCGTCAGAGGTCGTAAAATCGCGTCACACATGCACATATTGCATTGCGAATTTATCTAGAAATTACGTGCCAGTATTAAGATCCGGGAAATTTTGGAGCGGAAATAATTACTAATGTTTCAACGATAACTGAACTGTTACTATTAATATCCAAAGTGGTTTCTCTCTTTTTTTATAAATTTGCTTCTTCTCTTTCGCAACATATAAATCCCGTAATTTTTTTAAATACCACAATATATACGTTCTTTTGTTTTCGATAGCGCACGCGTTTCCAATATAATAATTTCCCTCGCGACTCATTAACTTATTAATGTGTAAAAATTGGACGATTATAAAAGATACATATGTTTTTCGTGAGAAGGATAGAACGAGAACACACACAAAAGCAACTTTCGACGTTTCAAGTTCACAGCGCAGAAAATGTATCGTCGAGTGTAGGTATCGCATTTGCGGTATCGTATTTGCGGTGAGTCGATGCTGTGAAAAATTAGCGGCCGACGGAGGAAATTAATGGAAAAACGTGGTATAGGGATACGCGCGCCCCTCCTATTTTCCGGGCTTTTTCAACCGACCGCTGGCGCGAAAGAAACCGCTCGTCTACATGACCTTCGACGCTAATTAGTGTATTCTTTGCACCACTCGCGGATATTCGAACGATAATTAACGAGTTCCGAAACCCTGTTCCCTGACGCGAAACTCGCGTCGTTCTCTATTACCACGTCAAAAAGACTGCGCTCCGCGTTTTTTGTAGCTAATAGTATTTAATTCTTCCGCGCGTGGAACAAAAACGAGCAAAAACGATGTATATATTTTGTAACGACGTAATTAACAGTACATCAATGCGTTGCTACATACATCGGCACAAATTAATCAAATCTTCTGCGAATGAAAGTATTTCCTTCTCTGAATACATTATTCAAAATATAAAAGAGTGAAATCATTTCTTTTCTCATAAAGAAAATCTAACCAAAAACGCGTAATTTTTCTGCGAGCAGGAACGATACGTTTTGTCTTCTGTCTTTCCGAATTTCGCAATAATCCAGTTTTGCCGGCGTCGTCGTGCGATGAGAGACTATCTTCATCCAATTACGATTCAACCACGTTCGCTCGCAAGTACAAACACAATGAAGAGAAATTATGAGGAGCGACGGCAAACGTTACATTTAGCAAATTTGACAAATCCTTGCTTGCTCACCGATCATTAAGCTGAATTGACATAATAAGCGCAGCCGCGCCGCCGAACAACGGAATGTTTTCATTACCGCCGTTTCAGCCGTTTATTCGTCCCCGCGAGTAATTTACGCGCAAGCGGCATTTCCGTTCCATATACGCTAGACGGAATCGATGTATGTATGCCGGTGGTAGTAATAAAACATCGTGTTAATTAGTCAATGCTGTGTTTAATGAGGTATTCGGATAACATAAAGTAATGGTTGCGCGTACGCAACATTAACAGCGCGGCCATTATTATCTTACGTAACCACGTTAATTAAATATAAAGTTTATGTTTAACTTAGCAATCAGCAAGATTAGTATAAAAATATAATTCTCAAAGTACTCTATACGAACGATTCATTATCTAAGATTCACAGTTTACAGAAAGTAAATTGTTTTCCACAGGTTATAGAAAGACGGCGAAATTTCTAAAAAACTAACTCATAGTGTTACCAAACTTATAGTGTTACACTAAGTACGAGACACCTTAGAACAATGATATACACAACCTTAGAACAATGATATACAGAATTTTACAAACATTTCCGAACACATTAAAAAATTTCATACTGAATACAATAAATTAATCGATTTTAATGCAAATATTAATATCTTTTTATGTTACAAATAAGATATTTGATTATTCCCACACAGTACAAAATTCCCAGAGGATATTCTGGAGATATTCTCAAAATGTCTTTAAGATCTCCTGTGGAGATCTTAAGGAGATCTGTACTATTTGAGTTGTTACAATTCAAGCATAATAACAAAATACATATATTATCACCGATCTTAAAAATAAAGTGGTAAGAATATTATGAATAGCCTTCTTAATTTAGCAATATATCAAATATATAATAATAAAATAAAAAAAATACTAAATGTAACAATAAAAGAAGAGTTATTGTTAGCAATCACCATCCCCTTCTTTTTTCTCATTAACTTCCTTAACTTCTTGTTTCTCATCTAGATGATGCTTGTCGTCGCATGCATCGCCTCCAGCAAGATCTAATGTGTAAAAATAATATTTCATTCGTAAAAAAGCATTGCTATTTATAAACACATGCTATTACATATATATAATAAGAGTCCTCTTAACATTACCTTGCTCCAATGTGATCTGCTTCATTTTTTCTGAACTTTTCAATTGTTTCACTTGTTCTGCACCTTCAATTTGCGAAGTATTCTATTGCAGAAAAGAAATCTATTATATGAATATATTTAGATCAAATACTACATAAAATTATATAATGATGGAAATGTAATCATCAAAATATCTAGAATGCTTTGCATAATTTTTAAAACATTACATATTACATATGTAATATATTCGTGAAAATAACAAATATTAACCATATTTAACAAATAGATATTTCATACCTCATAAATTCGATCAATGCGTTCTTGGTTTACTTGCCTTTCCCTGCCATTTATACCAAACCTGAAGAATGGTCCGATACCAAAATTAAAGGACCCGCCTATCAGGGAAAACGGCAATAATATCAAGCATATACAAAAAGTTACGTAAAGGAGGAAAGTGACGGGGGCAGCATAGAAGACGTTCATCTTACCTGTAGAACATTACAGTTAATTTTTGTTCAATACAATACTCTTATCCGAATATTATTAATTGCGAGATATTTAACTTACTAGTAGCGTTCTCTATAAATTCAGACATAACAATCCCAAAGTACGACAAAGGATAAAAGATGACTGTAGAAAGAAAATGCGTCAATGCAATCATAGGTGTTACTTGCAGTTTTGGATTGGCCAGAAGGGCTTCGTAATACTTTTCGCATTCGTTCGTACCTGCAAAATAGATAATAATACACTACCAAAATAGACAAGAGATTTGTGATATCGCGAGTATAAATTAATTTCAGAAACTCACGCGAAAATGACGCAACTATTTTATCCAATATGCCCATCTTGTGCGGCTGACAAGCAATAGGCATTTCGGCAAATTGCGCTTGTGCCGCCATTATCTTGATCTCTGCTTCCTAGAGAGCAACGAACAGTGCTTAAAATTTAAAATAATCGGCGTCTCATTCAATATGTATCCACAAAGTTCTATACATTTTCGATATAATCAATATATATTTTTTACAATGAAACAAAATGCAAATTACTTGTATAAGTCGCCACCAAGTTATGAAGAAACTCGCCACGACTATAACATCGAATAGCAGAAAGATAACCAAGCTCCGAGACCACTGTCGTTTTCTCAATATTAGAAAACTAGATATAACTATGAGCGAGATGATAGTTATATCCCACTGCAAAGGTGCCAAAGATCAATTAGATCGACTGTACATCTAAAAACTTCTATACATCATTGAAATCAGTTAGATCAAACTTTATACTTTGAGCACAAAACTAAATCCTAAATATTATTGATTCTTACATGTTCTTTTATAACTGATGTACACTGGATCAATAATTCTGACAGTACTCCGAAGTAATAAGACATTTCAGACACATAGTAACTCACTGGATAATGAGATTGTTTTATTATATTATCAAGTATCCTGTCAACTTCTTTTATAGAACCTTGACCCTCCACAAAGTTTTGAAGGTAATTGAACTCTGAAGAAGATGCTTCCATGCTGAGCGTTCCTATTAATTTGTCGTCAACTCTCTGTGAATAATATCAATTATTATTACATATAAATAAAGAATTGCATATAAGAAATTGATATAAGATATGCTAATTCTACAAAGTCTTAAATTTATTCAAATTTTATATTAGATATAGCAAACCTACCTCTATGACTAGATTTGACAATAACACAGCAACCATACGTTTGTAAAATACTGTTTCTTGAGTAATACGTTCATCTGATTCTTTACAGCTGCATGGTTCTATTGTTTTAAAGTATTTATTATCACTACTTTCTTGTGTCACAGGACTAGAATTTTAAATGATAAGAATTATTTGCTAACCTGTTTAATAACGCTATGTAGAACATATTTTATATTTGCATAAAATATTATATACCTATTTAACTCCTCTTCAGATTTATAAAAGAAAGAGTTTATTTTTTCAAGATCATGGGGAGGTCTGAAACAAAGATTTATTTTTTTATATAAATATTTCTTATTTATATACAACACAGAAACATATACACCATGCTTCATTGATTAGAAGTATGGTCCTAAAGTAATTACGACATTATTGCATTAATGAGCACCAACGCAAACTTAGCATAATTCCATTTATGGTAATCCTAAAATAGTACATTTTATGTGTTAATTAAGGAATTTATGATGCTTGATCTGCACACATAATAAACAGACGTTATCTATCAAAAAACGTGTATTAGAAATAGAATATAGACAATTTTGACGTCTTATTATTTAAAATATTTATTTTTACCGGCTATTTTATGCTATTATGAAAAAGTACTCACTGCGTGACATCATCAACCACGTTCATTTCGTCGCAATAAACATTAAAAAAAAATGTACACAGCAATATTACAAGATATATTAATGATCTAAGAAACTGCATGATGATACTTTGAATGTCTTCACGCGCTCTTCGAAACTGTCGCAGGAATATGAATCTCCACTACATTTTAAACAACGTTAAAAATCCCTCGATTCTCTAAGATTTTAGGTTAGAGACGAGCGATAATCGACGATGAATCGATATTCGATTTTTCCACTCGTTAAAAGATCGGTTATTTTATTTTTTCATTTTATTATTTTATTTTACTTAACATACAAAATAATAATTATGTAATTTTCCTGCAAAAAACGCAAATAGTGTCTTTCCGCGAACCTACAGTTGAGTAGTACAACTCAATAACAAGTGAAACGACGTTGTCTTTAAATAAACAACTCAATAGCAGATAAGGACGATCTTTTATTTTTGGAAGTTTGGAATACAGTAGTTGCGCGTTGCTACCAGTGTATACATTTACATCTTTAAAAATGATCTTTGTTTCATCATTACAGTAAATGAGAATAATATATTAAAGAAAAGAAAACCATCAATAAAAAAAATCTACTATTAATGTTTTAATACTGATTGATATTACAAGGCAAATTACAAACGCATAATACATATTATAATAATCGATTGTCTTTCATGTATACATACATATATATTTTTTTATATAATAGCTTTATTTTGAAAATAAGAAAATTTAAGTTAAAAATCAAAATCTAAAGCGACGTTTTGGTATATAACACTGAGTATCATTTAACAATCTTGTATTTATTGTGAACTTTGTCTTCAGATTTCACCTCACCAAACCTGGCTTTTCTTTTCTCTAATCGTTCAGCCAGTTCAGCCTAGAAGAAAAAAACATTTCAACTTAAAGTAATAACGATAGAAAAGCAATAAATAATGAGGAAGAAAATGAAACAATAAGTCGCCTATTTACCTTTTCCATTAAAGTAGACACTGATGTACCAAATCTTTCTGCACGTTTCTTCAGTACCTCGTAAGTGGTATGCTGCAAACAAAATTAACGCATTAACAATAAATTAACGTTTAATGTTCCTGAAATTAACGTTTTACTTAAATAACACTTATACATAGCTGTGAGATGAAAAATTGACTTCTTACCACAGGTGTCTTTATAGATGCTGCAGATTTATTATTTTGATTGTTTACATTGAATCGAGCTAGTCTAGCTTCCTTCTTTGCAGCTTCGGATAGTGGCATTCCAAATTTCTTCGCCCTCATCTCTAATCTCTGTCAAAGAATTAAGATGATGAACATGTGTCACTAAATAACACATGTATAATAACACGTATATAATATATTTCTACTATATTGTGTAAGACAAATATAGATTTTATTATGCTTTATAGTGTCAGCAAACAGAAGTTGTGTAATTTTCTAGTACCTCTTTCACGCCGAGCTCCGATAATTTTATGATCTTTTTCTCAGACGGTGCAGCCTCTGCAGATTTTACACTTTTGTTCTCATTTTTCTCCACTTGGTCGTTCTTGATTTCTTCGAGCACGGATTTACGATTTAATACAACCTTCTTGGTATTACCATTGTTGCTTTCTGTGGACAATTTTCGTTTCTTAGAAAGCTCTTGTGAGTCTGGCTTACTGGATAGTTCTTCTATTTCTTCATCCTGTAATTGATCAACAATGAATCTTTTATATTGTTTAAAACAAAGAAAAAGAAATATATATGTATATAATTACTGCATTATATATAATATTGTATTATGTATATATTATGTTCATTAAGTTACATATATACAATATATACACATGCATACAAAGTTGTTAATATCACATGTACTTACCCCAAGTACTTCATCTTCATCTAAAATCTCTTCTGCAGTCTCATCCAAAGACAATGCAGAATCTAAAATAGAAACAATTCATCCATTAATATATCTGATTTATTTTTATTACAGTAAAGAGAGAAGAAAACGAACCACCATGCATTGCCACTTGAAGTCTCTCTACCAATTCGTTTTTATTGCCTGTAGTGGGAAGTCCTCTTTGCTTTAATTCTGCTCTCAAATCAGCTACCTATAAAAGTAAAAAAATATTAAAGTTTGATATAACAAAAGGAAAGAAGTCTATATACATAAACATTTTATTATATAATATAAACTGTCTTTACCAAACTGTCTTTACTGTCTATTTTCATAATCAACAACACATGAATTTACATATTCTTTATAATGCAGTTTCAAAATATATCAAGTGATTAAGTCTTTTACATCTTACTATATATTATTTCTCTACTAATAATATTAATTGATAGATATTAATAAGCTTGTGAAAAAATTTTTTCCTTGCTCCATATAACTAGACCGTTCAATATCGATTAGTTGAACGTAGTAAAATTTAATTATTGCACATTAAGTGACCAACAAAATAAAAATTTCCAATTAACAACTAAAGGAAACATCATGTATTTCAAAACAGACATAAGACAGTAGATGCTTACAAAAAATATTAGAGGTTAGCTACCGAGGCGATAAACACGACTGCACGTACTGATCATACAGTTCGTGATACGTACCTTCATTTTCGACAATTCGCTAAGTCCTTTATCATAAGATGAGTCTGCCATCGTTCCTGAAGCGTATTGAGATATCAAATTATGTCAATCAAAATATCAAAATATTACTGACAATAAATATCTCAGCTTCTGCGTTTACAGTGTTTTATGCAAAACTCTTCGTTAGGACGCGCCACTTCTCGAGTGGCACAGTTCTTCCATAAAAGATATACCAAACTCGATGTATAAATTGATTTGTATTTCCGGTGCGGACGTAGTCCGATTCTAACATATCGTATCTAGTGGTCTGTTCTTTTCGGTTGCACTGCTGAATTGGTGTAATAAGTTTGAGTGAGACAAGTATATTTTTTTTTCACTCTAAGGGTGCCTCCTCATGCAGCGTAACTTGCGTAAGCGTAACTTGCGCCAACCAATCACATCATCTCATTTAAGTACAGTCGCGGACTTAAAGGTTGGTGGGTCGTTTTTAGCAAATTTAGGAACGCATTCCGACTTAAGAAGAAGGAGAGTGTATGAAGTTGGCACCCCACTTTTTGAAATTTATAATTTTGAAAGTTATTCCAGATTGTTCTCACTTTGTACCACATTGTTCCAAAGTGATATTGTTTCATTCGAAACGGTTTTCGAATAAAACAAAGAAAATAATTTTTTGAGCTGGCACCCCACTTTTCGAAAATCGAAAATTCTGATACCGCAATAGATTGTTCTAGTTGTTCCAAACATTGCTCCAAAAGGACAAATCCGTGAGCTAAATTATAAGTCCAAAAAATGAAAAAAATGTTTTTGACCATCCCATTTTTTGAAAATAAAGCATTCCGATATCGATATAGATTGTTCTAGTTGTTCCAAACATTGCTCCAAAAGGACAAATCCGTGAGCTAAATTATAAGTCCAAAAAATGAAAAAAATGTTTTTGACCATCCCATTTTTTGAAAATAAAGCATTCCGATATCGATATAGATTGTTCTAGTTGTTCCAAACATTGCTCCAAAAGGACAAATCCGTGAGCTAAATTATAAGTCCAAAAAATGAAAAAAATGTTTTTGACCATCCCATTTTTTGAAAATAAAGCATTCCGATATCGATATAGATTGTTCTAGTTGTTCCAAACATTGCTCCAAAAGGACAAATCCGTGAGCTAAATTATAAGTCCAAAAAATGAAAAAAATGTTTTTGACCATCCCATTTTTTGAAAATAAAGCATTCCGATATCGATATAGATTGTTCTAGTTGTTCCAAACATTGCTCCAAAAGGACAAATCCGTGAGCTAAATTATAAGTCCAAAAAATGAAAAAAATGTTTTTGACCATCCCATTTTTTGAAAATAAAGCATTCCGATATCGATATAGATTGTTCTAGTTGTTCCAAACATTGCTCCAAAAGGACAAATCCGTGAGCTAAATTATAAGTCCAAAAAATGAAAAAAATGTTTTTGACCATCCCATTTTTTGAAAATAAAGCATTCCGATATCGATATAGATTGTTCTAGTTGTTCCAAACATTGTTCCAAAAGCACAAATCAATAAGTTTAATTATAAGCCCGAAAAATTAAAAAAAAGTTTTTTGACAAACAGTCTATCCGACCAAGAGTAAACTTATACTATCCTTCTTGTTCCAACCGAGATCTTTTTGTTCTGAGATGTTCTAGGCTTAAGAATTATAGTTCTAGAGTATAAGACTCATTAGATCATTCGTTCTCTGAAAATTCGTAAAAAAATCGATTTGACAGTACTCGACGTCAAGAGTAAACACATGCTTCCTTTCTTGTTCCAACCGAGATCTTTTTGTTCTAAGTTGTGCTAGGCTTAAGAATTATAGTTTTAAAATATGAGACTCGTAGCGTCATCGGTTCTCCGAAAATTCGAAAAAAAATCGATCATCTAAAAAATCTGAAAAAATTCTGGGATACTCTAGAGAGATTATATTTTATGTTCCAATAGTTACTTTAGTCATTTATTAACAATTTTTTGCAATAACAATTTAAATTTGCCGAAATCGACAAAAAATGTAATTTCGTAAAAAAAATTCATAACTTAACAACATATTAAAATTAACAAAAATATTTTCAGGTTTTTTTAGATGAAACTATTTTCTTAAAAAAAAAAGTTCTATATACTGATTTAAAAAAGTATAATTATTTGGATGATTGAAAATAAGGATGATTGAAATATATTTCTGAGGTGACAAAAATTCAAGAAAAAGATGATTTCTTACAAAAATTAATCTTTATTATAGGAAAATTGGCGGAAATAATTACAAAATGTCATGACAAAATAAAGTGAAATTGCTTCGTCGTTTAAGCCTAGTATAACTCAGAACAAAAAGATCTCAGTTGGAACAGAAAGGAAGCATGTGTTTTCTCTTGCTGTCAAATCGATTTTTTTTCGAATTTTCGGAGAACGAATGACGCTACGAGTCTTATACTCTAAAACTATAATTCTTAAGCCTAGCACAACTCAGAACAAAAAGATCTCGGTTGGAACAAAAAAGGAAGCATGTGTTTACTCTTGACGTCGAGTACTGTCAAATCGATTTTTTTACGAATTTTCGGAGAATGCATGAGCTTACGAGTCTCATACTCTAGAACTATAATTCTTAAGCCTAGAACATCTCAGAACAAAAAGATCTCAGTTGGAACAAGAAAGATAGTATAAGTTTACCCTTGGTCTGATAGACTGTCAAAAAACTTTTTTTTTATTTTTCGGGCTTATAATTAAACTTATTGATTTGTACTTTTGGAACAATGTTTGGAACAACTAGAACAATCTATATCGGTATCGGAATGCTTAATTTTCAAAACATGGGGTGCCAGGTCAAAAACATTTTTTTCATTTTTGGACTTATAATTCAGCTTACGGATTTGTCCTTTTGGAACAATGTTTGGAACAACTGGAACAATCTATTGCGGTATCAGAATGTTCGATTTTCGAAAAGTGGGGATTTTCGAATTGTAATGATTGAATGCGCCGCGGTTGATATGCATTGTCGATATTAAGATTATCTAATATAAAGTTACTATTTACGCATATCAAGTGCACGATGTAAACTAAGCCATTGGCTGCATTCAGCAGACTCAACAGCATATATATATATATATATGGTTTTGCAATGTCCGGGTCCGTACATGTTTATGCCAGCCAATCGCAGAGTAGCTGCTTGACGATTCTCTTTACTGGAGGTTTTCTAGCCTACAATATACGTGACATGAACTATAGATAAATGCGCATATGCGTGAAACGGAACGCGGTCAATATGAACGTTCCACTTGATGTTTGGCGGGAGACCTTAAAAGGAATCTGAACGCTCTCTGGGTGTCAGGGTGCGCCCGGATGGGGAATCTGAACGCACTCCAATAAAAAAGAAAAAAAAATTAGATACCAATTCGTTAACCAATCATCATCTATCTGTAGTATGGGTTGACTTATCCTTCACTGCGTATCGCGTTGAATGTTCCGGCTTAAGGTTAGGCTTAAGGGCCGTGGCACACAGAAAAACTTAAGCAGTAAGACGTAAGCAGTAAACAAATTGACCAATCACAGTCGTTGATTCTTCTTACGTTGAAGAATCAACAACTGTGATTGGCTGATTCGCTTACTACTTACGCTTACTGCTTAAAGCCCATTCTACAATTGCGTGAACGTAGTGTAAGTGGTTGTAAGTGATTACGACAACCAATCAGAATAAAGCAATCAGTGAATAAAATATTCGAATTGGTTGACTCTTATGTTCACGACTACGCTTACCCAATTGTAGAAGGGGCTTAAGTTTTTCTATGTGCCACCAATTTAAAGGCCTTCACACACACTTTCCGTAACAGTAATCGTAAGATGTAATGTAAGAATTAACCAATTACGATGGAGTATTCACAAAAATGGCGACCTTATGTTTCGACGATTCTCAACGTGATTGGTCAATTCTTACGTTACGTCTTACGGTTACTGTTAAGCGTCTTCTACAATGGCAGTAGGAGTAGTAGTAAGAAATAAGCAGTAAGCAAATTGACCAATTCCATTCTCACGTTTCAAAAATAATCGATTGTGATTGGTCTATTTACTTACTGCTTATTTCTTACTACTACTCCTACTGCCATTGTAGAAGACGCTTTACGGAAAGTGTGTGTGAAGGTCTTAACCGCCGTTACGTTGAGAAGTGTTCGAACACGTTCGGACCTGATTGTTTTGGAATTCGTACCTCGTACCTTGGATGAAAAGACAGTAGAGATAAGTCTGAGTCCAAGTAAAATAATAAGAGACAAGAATATTGAATTGGTTTAGACCATGTCATAATCTTGTTGGAGTTTGGTGCGTTGTATAGTACTTATTGGATTATTTATTCACAATATATTGCGTACAGACAATCTCTTGAACCACGTAATCGAGAATAATTTTCGACACTATGTTATTAACGAACGTGTTACTGAAGCCTAAGAGCAAGTAAGTACGGCAATATATAAAATAGTTGATCGAAAATTTGAGGTTAGAATATGAATCGTATAATCGTGGGATTATTTAATACAAATAATTATAAATATTTGTAAAAAAAGTTGTGTAATTTCTTTTGAGGATGTCAATAAGGGATTGATATATCCAATGTGTTATCAATTAATAGATGTCTATTGTTATTTATTGCAGAAATATCATGGTCATAGCAGAAAGTGTTGTAACTGGTCACAAGATAATACGTATACGAGAGAGGATAGCTGATAAACTTGAATTCTTACACTTTGATCCTTACAGTAAGTAATTGATATGTATTGGCTTGGTTTACATCATGCACTTGATACGCGTACTAAATAGTAACTTTCTATTAGATAATCTTAATATCGACGATATATATAAACAATGGTATATTAAGCTGGTATAATATTTATCAACAAAACGTATTGTATCGATAGAATGTCGCTGTTGATATGCATTGACGATATTAAGATTATCTAATAGAAAGTTACTATTAAGTACGTGTATCAAGTGCACGATGTAAACCAAGCCATTGTCATTTACTATTACAAATTTACTTTTCACATGGACTGATATTGAATTCCCTGTTATCAATACAAGTATCTCTAAAGGTGGCTTATAAGCTTTTTAACTTTCAGAAGCACTTTTATTGATAGTAAAGTTCTGAATATCAATCATAGAATACAAAAGAGAAAATTTATTGTATGTTTTAATTGTATTTTTTTAATTACAAATAATACATAATACTGTTTTTAATAATTTTTTTCAATAAACAGAGGATACGATGCATATTGGATTTAATTTTTTTTTATAGTTCAACACCAAGTTCTTTATACAGAACTAAAGAAAGTACGTAGCATGAAGTAGTATGTACATCTAATTTTTACTATAACATAAGCAAAATATAAGAGATAAAAACACAAGATGGACTAAGAATGCTTACACAGCTTGAAATATAGAGCAACACAACTTTTATCCTGAATAACACACAATTAAAAAAAATTTTATTTAATCACAAATAAAATTTTATTTAATCCAAAATTAAACTGTACTAATGAAAACTAAACATTTGAACAGAGTGAAAATAAACATTAAAAAAGTTTCGAGATACAAATCAGATATCATTATTATTTATGTCTTATCATACTGAATATTGTATATAAATTATATTAGTATTTAATAAAATGTGTTAATCATATAAAAATGTGTTAATCATATAAAAAATTATATATACATTCGATCTTAGTAAATGCTGTCATCTAATGAATTATTTATACCGTTGCCATCACCATCAATCATTTCCTGTAATAAAATATGATATACAATTTTAAAGCAAAAATTAATGTGGAATATAATATATTGATATAGCATAAGATCAACATTACCTGCAGCACTTCAATAAGTGTCTTTGTCTCTTTCAACATCTCCTCATGAATGAGTTTTTGCTCTTTCAATCTTTCATTTTGTTCACTTAATTTTTCTACACGTTCTTCTAATATACTAATTTTTTCTAACGCATCATCAAGTGCTATTTGTCGCCTTTCAGCTAAGACTTCCCAATAATTTTCACTAGGACCAGCTAAACAAAAAATAGGACAAAATAAATATTTTAGTAGTAATTTAATTTAAAATTAAATTTTTTATGTACATGCTATGCATACATAATATATGCAAGAAGCATGAAATGTTAAGATAAATATATATTATATTGATTATACCTGTAGATGTTAAATCTTCGACTTCAATTTTTATCTTTTCTCCTCGAGCAGTCTGTACAGCCTTGTCTTGAAACATTATCTGTTTAGAGGACTTATTAGGAGGACTAGGTTTTGTTTTCTCTGATACAACACTGAAATGTCATGTATTAATATATAGTCAACTTGTTAAAATATATCTACATAATTATCTTTTCAAAACAACTTACTTTTTAGTCTTTACTTTCTTAGTTTGTTTAGTAGATCTGAGCATCCTGCCAACAGTGACTAAGTTTTCTTTATCTATGGCTGATGGCTGCAAAATGTGCAAAGGTTCTCTTCTCTCCTGTTTTGATAATAGAAAAAATATAAATACCTAATTATTTATTTTACAAGAATGACATTGCTATCACTTCTTTTTATTTGTCAAATTAGTTTATCTCTAATTACTACTTTTTTCCAAACATTAGTTTTATGTATAAAAATATATAAATTTATAGTGTTTCTCCTTCCTATATCACCTTAGAACATCTTGTGTATACTAAAAAAAATGACAGAAGAATAATATCTCTGTTTATACAATAATAAATAACAGTAAAATTATGAGTAGGAAAAATTTAATACACATATTTGTCACGACAGAAAAATTGAGCATGAGTGATCTTGGAGAAGGTTAAGTAATTAGATAATTAAAATGTATCAAACAAAAACGTTATTACCACGTCGTAAACACACATTTCTCATGTACCTGAAAATATAAGTATACTAACCTTAGAAACGGCGTTCTTTTTTGCGGCAGAATTTGTTGGTTTCATTTTGCTGGTCATTTTTCTTTCCGTCCTTGCTTGTTTCCCACAAGGAATTAACAGAAACTTCGGTTACACGACATTTTCCCGAAAACTAGATGGAAAAATGTTGGTACCAACAAAAACTCCTAAGTAACACAATTTTAATTTCTACGGATTAGTGACAGTTTGTTATTTGACATATACATACGCATATGTCAAACGACTCCGCAAAATTCATAGACTTGCTACTTCTACAGTATCACTAATCCGCAGAAATTAAAATTGTTGCCTAGGGGTTTTTGTTGGTACCACCATTTTCCCATCTAGTTTTCGGGAAAAGTGTAACCAAAACTTCTAAACAATGTTCAGAAAACATAGCTGATCAGTGAGCGGTCAGTGATTATGGTCTTTACTGTTAGATCTCTAACTTTAAACCAATTACATTGACGAATTGCTCAACTGTTGTGCAACTGTTGAGTTCGCTGAACGCACCCTATGTTCTATGTGTTACTCAATGAATTTGCTGGTCCTAAGGGCTATCGCACACAAATTGACATAACTGCATATGCATAGCATAAGACCGTATGTACCAATGAGCATCGAGTATTAAGTCGCCATATTGGTGTTCGATGCTTAATATTCGATGCTCATTGGTCCATACGATCTTATGCTATGCATATGCAGTTATGTCAATTTGTGTGCGATAGCCCTAAATGATCCAAGCCAATGGGTGCGTTTAGCGAACTCAACAGTTGCACAACAGTTGAGCAATTCGTCAATGTAATTGGTCTAAAATTAGAGATTTAACAGTAAGGACCAATAATCACTGACCGCTCACTGATCAGCTATGTTTTCAGGGGGTCGATTGTGTATCTCAAAACAGAATGAAAATGATAAAAGTGAGCAAATTTACTAGAATATTTGTAATTTCATTGGTCAATGCCTAGTGAATTTGTTTACTTTTGTAATTTTCACTCCGTTTCGAGATACACAATCGACCCCCTGAACGCAGCTAATGCAGGCCAATGCAGCAACGCAGCAACATAGGCCGCGTTCCGTGTCAGGGTGCCATTACATGAAGTGCGGAAACGCGGAAGACAAAATCTTACTAGATTCCGTGTTCCACGAATTGAATTATTTCTTCCCGTACGTTGACCAGTTCAGCAATGCAGCTGAAAAGAACAGACTACAAGAGACAGGTAAAGGCTGCATTCCGAAATTCACTGTCAGTACTGAAATTCTATAATATACGTGACATGAATTATAGATTTTCAGTACTCGCAGTGAATTTCGAAACGCAGCCAAAGCAAACGAGCATAACCTTTAAATGTGTATGAAGCGATAAATTGTCAGGATGGTTGATGAATCAACAAAGAAAAGTTTAAGTAATATACCATTGTTACAAACGAAAGCCGGTCCCAGAGATAAAGATATATGGGTGCAAAGATTGAAAGAGGAGTATCAAGCTCTCATCAAGGTAAAGAATTTATAAACGTCACTTCCATATGGACTGATCAGTTTTGATCACTCCAATTTAAATGACTATCAAAGATTAATTTGTCTATGACAAGTCGTAAAAATGAAAGAATTCAATTAAATTAAACAATAATTAAATTATATTAAATAATTATAATTAAATTAATAATAATTAAGGAGAATTTATTTTTTATAATTGTTTTTTATAGTATGTTAAAAATAATAAAGAGGCAGACAATGATTGGTTTAGGCTACAATCGAATAAGGAAGGCACTAAGTGGTTTGGTAAATGCTGGTATATCCAGAATTTCTTGAAATATGAATTTGATATAGAATTTGATGTAAGTGGAAATTTTTTGGTTCATTCTATGTAAAATGAAGATATTCTATTGAACATATTATTTTAATATATTTTAATTGTATTTTAGTATATTTTAATTGTTTTATTTATACTAAAATCATAAAACTTAGAAGGTTTGTTCAATAGTATCTTGTTTTTTCTGATACATATTAGATTCCTGTTACATATCCCACAACAGCACCAGAGATTGCTCTACCAGAATTAGATGGCAAAACAGCAAAAATGTACAGAGGTGGTAAGATCTGCCTAACTGATCATTTCAAGCCACTCTGGGCTCGCAATGTCCCCAAATTTGGCATTGCTCATGCTATGGCTCTTGGTGTAAGCCAAATAATTATATTTATCTTATAATATATTAATGGTTGTCTTTTAGAGAAAATATAAATTTATACATTAAGATTTAATATTCTCATGTATAAAAATATTTGATTTTAAATCTACTTTTTTAAAATTTACTTTTTAGTTGGGACCATGGTTGGCAGTGGAAATTCCAGAACTCATAGAGAAAGGCATTATAGTTCACAAAGATGAAGAGAAAAAAACCCCTTGAATGAATATGGCACATATAAAAAGTGAAAAAAGTTCTTCAGTAGAGAATGTGCATGAAAACAGCGAGAAAATACGATTGTTGATAAATTATTTTTTATGCCTCTCATTGGAGATTTATACAATACGTTATATTTTACACAAGATGCAGAGTATTTACATTATTCAACACGCGATTAATAAAGACTACTTATCGTCGTCGCCGAGTTTTATCTTTTCACTTTTCTTGATTATCTTGTCAAGCTTGTATAAGTCCTTGAGCGACACCTCTCCTGTACCTCTCTCAAGAGGCTTCGGTTGAGACGGGTCAGGTTTCCATCCCAACATGTATATTATCTGAAATGTAGCGGGAACAAACGGGGTATTGTCTTCTTTGGTTTTCCCATAGAGCTCTTGGTATATAGAAGCAGCTGCAATCAGCGTATCTCTCGATAGATGCAAGTTACGATTCTTGGCTGCGTTATTCTCTGCCATTCCTAGACAAATAAAAATTTTTCATATGAAAAATGTGATTCATCTTTTTCCTTTGTGTTTCTTAATGCTAAATTTGTGTTTCTTAACACTAATTTCTTACATATATAAATATATAAATCATACTAATTGAAAGCAGTTCCTATAATTAACTGCAATTTTATTTCAATTCTGAGAACTTTTTCTATAACAACACATTAAAAGTACTAACTGAAATAGAATTTCAGTTGTAGCTCAAAGTTGTTTCAATAACAACACATGATATCGATTGCCCTTTACCTTTCAAGTCCCACATAAGCTCGAACATACTTGGGTAACCAATGACTATTTCATCGGTATCAATAGTTAACATGGTAAAATTTGCTCTTGTCAATAGGGATCCAATATCCCTGATCTCCACGAAAGGTGAGATATGCGGCGAGATACCTCCATGCCTCTCCAGTTCAGCTAATTGCAAGGAACTTCTGTATTATCAGAATGAATGCTAGAAATGATTGATGCAGATGCAATACTCCAAGAGTTTCTCAATGATTCCAATCAATTTTTATATTTACCTTAACTCATAAAGTGTATCACCACCGAATACAGCTGCCAAGAAGACACCATCACTCTTCAAGCTGTTGTTAACATGTCTGAAACATCCTGGGAGGTCATTGACCCAATGAAGACTCAGACAGCTGATCACCATATCAAAGCTGTTGGCCTCAAAGGAGGGAATCTCCTCATCAATAACTTCTTTTATGACTTTCACACCCTCTGTGGTCTCAGCCTGATTTAAGAAGCTTGGACTCATGTCGCTCAGCACCAACTCCTCTACGGACTCACTGAGGATCCGCTTGGAAACGTGGCCACGACCACAGCCCAGGTCCAAGGCTCTACTGAATTTGCGCTTGATATCGAAAATTCTATCGGACAGTCGGTTGCCCACTTCGTCCTTGATGTAATCATATATCTTGACATCAGGATCCCTAGCAGCACGCTCGCGATGCAACAACTTCGCGTTCCTGTCGAAGACGTTTATCGGACTGTCGGGAGGTAGCGCAGATATTGATGCGATATTGAACACATAGCTAGGATTGTATCTAGGATTTAATAGATTTGATTTATCGCATATTGCGCGTAAGTGAGTCTTTGCGCGGCTATGACGAATCAAAACTCTCGGGATCATCCTTACGTATTCGCCGAGTGGCTTGACACTGTGCGCAACGGTGTAAGTACTTTGTGACGCTAATCTCAATGCATTATCCACGTGAAAGTTGGAAAAATTCTTTATTTTGATAAATATTTTCACCTACAGTCTTATTTTTGTTTCTAAAACACTTTCTTCTCCCGCGTAAAATAATGTTAGGAAAATTATATCATAATCTCAACAAAAGGAAATGACAACACCATTGACCAGATACTACTGAAGATTGCACTACAGCGTACAAACTTCCGGGCTCAAAAATAACTCGAGAGCGTCGATAACATCTGACATGATAATTCAAAAGTCTCATCTGCAAGTGACAAATTTTAATGAATTAATATTACAGTTTAATTATTTTCTATTATTTCTAGTCACGAATACATTTCCATGACCATCACCGCTTCCTACTTGCACCACCTCGCCGAAGAGGGCGTAAGTGCACACCCAAAAACCTAAAGTTACACGCGTAGCGTCGGATCGTCGATCTTGATTAGTTTCTCATCGGTGCCGCCGCTGCGCGACGATAATAATGATGACGACGACGACGACGACACGACGACGTCGCGCAACCACCGCCAACCACGCAGAATCGTACAGGATCGGAAGACATGATGTCGCCCGACGTACTTATCAGCGCAACGTGCCGTATCATCTGCCAGGATGTAAATAAAGCGCCGCTCAGCTGACCAGCTCGCTCTGAATGAGCAACGTCGTCGTGAGACTCGCAATATGCGTGTAGCCGATTACGTGACGACCACCGGCCCGACGAGCAACCAAAGGTGTGTAACCCGCTGGATCGCCCTCGAGAACACCTACGTTGCGCGTCCGTCGCCCTCACGTCGTCGACGACGTATGCTCGGCTCGGCTCCTGATCTTTGATCTTGTTCGCGCACCTCGCATTGTTTATTGCGAGATTCACACCTCGACGGCGGGCTGACGCGCGTGATAAGACGTGCAATACGTGCGTTCTTCGCACAAGTGCGTGCCTACGACAGTACACGTCAGTGTGACAGTTACGTCGAGTTGTTGTGTAGGACAGGGGGGAGAACGGGGCGCGATAATGTCAGTCGCGCAGCGGCTGCTGCGACAATCGCGTCCGGACGAGCGTTCGGAATTGGTGAGATGAGAATAGCGAGCGAGGCGCGATCGATCTTCGGCAGAAGCTCGCGCGAGTTAAAGGGCTGAGGCGAGTGCTCCTCGATGTTGGGCCGGAGAGGTGAGAGTGTTTTGTTTTCGAACGGCGGCAACGCCACGGCTCAAGCATATCCTGTGTCTCGCACGAGTACTCTTTGTATTTCGCTGTCGATATGTATAGGTGTTTTGTGAGTAATGCGGATTTCTCTCTCATCACTCATTCGTGATGCGTGGACTTCTCCGTATGTAGCGTTAATTTGTGTTACAAACAAATTGGAATCTACGTGTCGATACTTTTGGCTTTTTATGTATAAATTATGCCGATTCTTTTTCATTTCTCAGTGAAACGTTGGGGCTTTTTATATTCCGTATGTACAGCCATTAATTTATGTTATGAACAAATTGGAATCTACGTACTAATATCTCTGATTTTCTGTATGTATACTATTTACGTGGATTTCTTCATCATTTCTCCGCGAAACATTGGCAATTTCGTATACACTCATTAATTTATGTTATAGACAAGTCGGAATCTACATGTCAATAAACATCTAATTTTTATGTAAATTTTTATGTTGCGGATTTCTCCATCATTTCCGCGAAACTTTAGTATTTTATATTCTACACACACACACACATACACACACATATAGCCATTAATTTATACTATAAACAAATCGATATCTGCATGTCAACAAATTTCTGACTTTTTATATATAAATATTATGGATTTCCTTGTCACTTTTCCGCAAAACGTTGGCTTTTGATATTGTGTACATAGTCATTAGTGTATATTACAAATAATCTACATGCCAACAGATCTCTGATCTTTTATATACAAAGCTTTGATAATCACTGAAGATAAATCGATATTCGCTTTGTTTTTGCTGCAATGTATTGTCAATTCGCCGTTGTTGTTATCGTGAAGATAACGGAACGAGATGAATTCGTATGCACGTAAAACAAATGAAATTCAGCGTTCCATCCTGTCGTGTTTTGGACGCTTACAAGAAACTAAAATTCAACCTCGGGTTTTTGCTTGCGATCGTCGAGCGCATTAAGAATCCGTTATCTTCTCGTTTGGACTCCTCCGCTTGTTCCCTCATTTCGAGTTATCAACGCTACTATTTGATAGGCATATACAACGAGACAGCTCCCGATAAGTTGCCGTCGTTGCACGGGAAAGTCTTGACGGCGTATTTTTATTATCGCTATCTCCGCGCGTGTCTCTTCGCGTTTCCCGCGATAATTACGGTGGGCGCACACTTTGGCGCGCGATTTTGCGAAAAACGCGCTGCACTCCTCTCGGTGCACGCTGTCGCGGCATTTACACGACTGACTTTGTTATCTTTGCAGATGAACGTCCCATTGTATGGCGTTCTCGGAGCTGCGGCGACTCTGCTCGCTTACATCCTCGGCATAGGAACGGTCGTGAAGCTCCTTGTCTGTTTGCTTGCGTTAATTTTAGGGTAAGATGAAAAAGAATCGTAGCGACTAGAAAAGAGATAAGATATCCCGAAGGAAGATAAATAGATGTTTTTTAAACGAGCGTCGCGGGTTAATGAGAAATGCGCGGATACAAGGATATTCTTTTGTTGCAGGGCATTGACCTGTATATATAGAATGTACGCTCCGAATCTCGACGATGTAATTAGGTCTGAAAGGGAAGACTTAACTAAGAAGACTGAAAAGTTCCGACAGGTGAGTTTAGAATTTAAAAATGACCTGACGGCCATTTTGCCGATAACGTGATATAATATAAGCATGTGACGCTCCATTTTACGTTTTCAGTATATATTAGATCTATCTAAGGAAAGAATGACATTCACGTTAGACAGAAGAATAACCGGTAGTCGTATCATTGATGAATCCCTGCAAGTACATACTCAATATTCATAAGACAATGATGAATAATCGTCTCTCTCGATTGTTTGAAAAAGTAGCATCTAACGTACGTCCGTTTCTTATTTTAGGAAATCTTGGATTTTCTCATCAGAGATTATGTGGAGCCGTGGTACACCGTTGTTACGGACGATGAAGAATTCATTTATTCTGTGCGAGACACTGCTCAAAAAATCGCCATTAATGTCGCAAATCGGTATGTACAAATATTTTCATACTTTTGTATTGTCATTAAATCTGCCTGAAACAAAACAATGGCATTTACGTTGGAAGGGAGAATAACTGGCAATGGGAGAGAATATTATAGTTTCTTTTCAAATTCTTTTCAATTTCATTATATTTTTAATGGTGCAGAAATAGATTGTCCATCTTGCTAAGGAACATAGTAAATTTTTTACTGGAAATATAGCAAAATTTAATTAATAGTGCATTTCAGTTTTCAAAATATAAATAACACCTATAGAACGAAAGCATAGTTAATTGTGTGTGCTGCAGGATATGAATATATTTTTCACACAGTTACAAAATACTATAATAATGTCTACTACAAAATTTTCTCCGTGTAGTTGTATCATTGATGAATCTTTGCATATTGAAACTCCGTTGAAAACCAATGATTTGAATACGGTTTGAAAGTTACGTTTGGCAGTCGAAATTTACATTTACTTGGCATACTTTTAACATATTTCATGCTAATGCGCCGCACTGTTCCTCAAGCAAGAATAATTGTAAGATATCAGTTCACGTTTCGTAGAGACCAAAAAGTTCTTGAAATGTCAAGTGTCATTCAGTAAAAAATAATTACCTATCCAACGAAATTGCGATTGAAGCATTGTTCAAGTGCGAATTGTCGCTTATCATTGATTAAACATCGATGCACAAAACAGGGTCAAGAGCGTCGATTGGATACCCTACTTGACGACGCGACTCGTCGACGATGCAGCCTCGCACGTGCGGCTGTATCGGCAAGCGAGCGCGAGAATGAAGCAAATACGATCGAACAGGATGCAGAAAGGTAGCGCGAGCTCGAGCACGTCGGGCGGCACGCCGAAGAAGACGCCCACACACCGGCGTAACAAGAGCGAGACCGACGTGTCCTGGTACTCGCAGTCGAAGTTTTACATACCGAACCTGTCGTCGCTTACCGAGCCGATCGAGTCCGGCGACGAGAAGGAGGACGAGTCTCTGGAAAAGATATTTTTCGATCTCGAGGTGCAGATGGAGAGCAACCTGATATGCAGGGACTTGGTATGCACGAACGACACCCAGGAGCTGGAGTTCCTGGGCGAAATATCGGAGATCCTGCTGTACCTAGTACTGCCCAAAGCAGACTTCGATTGTTTAACTGTGAGATTTATCTTAAGGGAATTGTTAGTGAACGTTATAATCAGACCGTTGTTGGATCTGTTCTCCGATCCTGATTACATTAATCAGGCATGTATATGGCTGGTGAGTATGAGAGAAAAAGAGAGAGCGATGCATTTGCAATTTTTCACGGGCAATCTTGTGATTGCCACTGATAAAATCATTGTTCCTCTACGAGTTTCTAAACAAAGATTTCCACTTTTCCATTAATTTATTAACAAACGAATCTATGTAATCTAATTTATCTATCTATATCTATCTATCTTATCGCGTACAACTCTGTCATTTTTTATCAATTTTATATATACAACGCAAATAATTTCACCTAAATCGTGCGTGTAATACTTTAATTTTTTTATTTTAGTGTACTAAGGAGAGTGGCTTACCAAGTGATGTCTTTTTAACAGTGATTAGAATAACGGATAATTTAGACGAATTAATGGCGACGAAGAATATAATTTGTAAAGAGATAGCACACCTGCGCTCGAAAGACTCGGGCGGTGAGGACGATCTGTCAGTGAAGCAGCAATTGAACAGTCTGCTCTACGTGAAGAAGATCCTGGAAACGAGGATCATCGGCATGCAAGAGGGCCTGGAAACAGAGACCGATGGGATCGGTGCCCAGCCGGAATGGAATAGATTGCTTATGCCTGGCCAAAAACTGGTCAATTTGCCGTTGGACGAGCTTTTGAAGAATAACATCGCGCTGAGTTATTTTATCGACTATATGACCTCCATTAACGCAGAAGCGTACCTATTCTTCTACCTGAATATCTACGGATGGCGGGTTTCGGCTGAGCAACAGATATCGGATATGGAATTGCAGAAAATACAGAGCGGCCAATCCGGGAGCGTAGCCGGCACTAGACGTAAAAACGCAGACTTGGACAATCTGAAAGAGGCAGCCACGAAGATCTACCAGCAGTATCTTAGCGACAAGGCGTCGCCAAAGTTGCAGTTGGACGACATGCTGGTGAAGAGTCTGTTGACGAGAACAAGGACCGAATCGGTGAAGGAGACTTGGTTCGATGATTTGCGCAGCTGCTGCTATGAGAAACTGCAAAACGAGGACAGATTCTTGCCTGGGTTCAAGCGCTCGTTGGCTTACGTCAAACTGCTAGCCGAACTAGATCTGCTAAAAGATCCGGTGTCCGAGGACGACACAAAGTCCTTGGACAGTATAAGTCTATCCAGCACGAACAACGAATTGGACACTTTGGACGAGTTGTCGGAGACATACAAGATGTCCGATGACGCAAGACTCACGGTCGCAAAAGAGGGAGCTACGAAGTCGAGTTCTGCCTCAAGTCTAGCAAGCATGGGGGAGATGAATGAAGGTAGAGTGTCCGACGAGATCGATGGGGACGCGTACAGCAATCTGAAAAGCACGAAAATCACGCGCAAGAGCTCCGCCACGGAGATCGATCAGATCGGTGAGAAGAAGGATATTTCGTTTTACGTTGAGACGAATGCAGAACAATTCGTCAAGCTGGACGAGAACGACTACGATCAGAACGCGATCAAGAAACTGCAGCAGGGCCGTTTCGAGATCACCGCGACGATAATAGAGACCGGCATCGTCAGCGATCGCGGGAAAACGTACGGGATCTATGCCGTGGCTGTCACGAAGAATTACGATTCGGGCTATAAGGAGAAGTGGCACATATACAGACGGTACTCCGACTTCTATGACTTGCATCAGAAGATCAAAGAGAAGTATTATGATCTGGCAAAGATACCGTTCCCCGCAAAAAAAGCGTTTCACAATATGGAACGTACGGTATTGGAAAGACGGATGTTGATGCTGAACGCTTGGTTGTGCCAACTGACGAAGCCCGCGATCGTGGACGGCCATATGGGATTGCAAAATTTGTTGCTAGCTTTCTTAGAGCAAGGAGACTACGACAAAGGAGTCACTGGCGGGCAAATCTCTAGAACGGTAAATTTATAGAATTTTGGCTTACTCATCCAGCGACACTATAGATCAAATTCCCACTAGAAATGAACAAATTAAATAAATTCTAATATAAGAAATTAATATCATATAAGAAATAAATTATAATTCACATCAGAAAATATGGTTTTGAAAATATAATATTGTATATATATATATATTTTTTTTTTTTTTTTTTGAGAAAAATTGTCTAGTAAAATGGTGTATGTATGCTTTACAGATAGATACTTTAATGAATCCCTTGAAGACCTCCATGAAAAGCGTCACGCAAGCGGTCAAAACGATGCCGGACAATATGTTGAGCACGGTGGACGGTGTAATGGACAATCTGAGCAAATTCTTCGGCAATCCTAAGAAAACAAGTATTTTTTACGAGAATACCAAAGTCGGCGCCGGTCTTGACACAGAGGTATCATCTCTATGTTTTCAGTGACCGCGTTCTCACATGTCTAGAAAGACAACGGATATTAAAATCACCCGATGCATATAATTTTTAGACAGACGACAATATCCCGTTGCGAATTATGCTGCTATTAATGGATGAGATCTTTGACTTAAAAGTACGAAATCAATGGTTGCGAAGACGAATCATAACACTGTTACGGCAAATCATTCGAACGATGTTTGGAGATATAGTAAATAGAAGAATAGTGGAGTACGTGTCGTTTTTAACTAGCCCGTCGAAGGTCGCGGGTTATTTGCGTTTGTTCAAGTAAGTAGCTGATATTGCCGCGAGCGAAATGTTTGCACAAGTGCGACCGATACTCGTCGAGAAATCCGTCATTAAAATTTCACTTGGTAATGACGAAATTCGTGTTATAATTTTTATTTTAACGCGACAGTATTTGTCTGCCAAAGTTGATCGCTATAAATTTCACCGGTATTTAATCTGACATTAAAATTGTTAACTAATAAAGTCGCATTTGACAGGAATAGCTTCTGGCCAAATGGCGTGAAAGCCGAGAGTAAACCGCCACGAGATACAGAGATGAAGAACAGAACGCGAGTGGCAGCTAAAGTCGCCTTGCTTTCCTGTCTTTCGGACGAGCTGAAACATATCATAGGCAGCGAGACTACGAGGCGCGGGCTGCTGAGGGTGTTTGAGCTCTTTCAACGGCCCGTACTAAACAGAAGACTGTTGTACGTGTTGCTGGAGGGTGTCGTGGAGACCCTATTCCCGCAGAACGATTTAGTGGCAATTTTCAGAAAACTTTATTCGGTGTCGCCGAGAGTGAGGAACAAAAACAAGGGGAAATCCTGATGGAAGAACAGGATGGATTAATGTCCGGATGCAATGGCGCGAGAGCGGCCACGTGATTAGTCGAGACGACTCACGGGAAATTAGAAATCTTGCCGATTTCTGTCGGCGATCTTCGAATAGAGATCACGTCACGCGTTTTCGGATAGTTTAGAAAATTATGATATTAGGAAAATACTTGTGCGCAGAGTGTGTCCAACGTAACAGAAACATATTTAAAATATCTACGTGTTCGACCCGTTGGGCTCTTAATTCGATTTTAATCTTCGCTCTTTTTCTCTTTATCTCTCTAGGACAAAACGTATTTATAAAAGTCAATCGAATATTGTTCCTTTAACGACGTGAGATCAATCACATATCTGGCAGTTATCGCGTCTTTCGTAGAAAGAATTTCTGATTGTTTTCAACACTTTTTTAGAGAAAGTATAGCTCAATTTTTTTGTTCTTTTTTTAACAATATAGCAATTGTGATGCCTGAATACAATCGTAACGTGTACTTAATATATGTGTGAGTTTAATAGACGGCGAACCGACGCGCCCAACTTTTGCAGCGCGGCAGCAGAGATAGAAAGCGTGCAGTGCAAGCTCGTTAGTCGCGTACTTTTTGATACTTCATTAGGTATCTTTTGGGATTTATCGCAATCTGCGAGAGTCGACCGTGTTAAACCGGCAACAGCTTATTCGAGCTCAATGGGTCCTCAATGAGTCCTCAATCTCGCTAAGCTTATTGAGATATTACTGAATGTCGTTCTTTCTCCAAATAGTCCTCTGAGCTGCAGTGAGCGAAGTGGATACATGTCGCCATTGCAACGGACAACCACCGCCTAGCTTTCGACAGGGAACAAAACGAAAGTCGAACGCTTTCATATCTCAATTATTTGTATATATTCAAAGATGCGCACGTCGGAAAAGTTCCGCGCCACAAATTAAAAAATAAAAAGAAAACAATTTGCGCACATAGTATAAAATACATAACAGATAAGATGATATTCTTGTGTTTTTAGGAAAAATAAATTCGATATTTCGTTAATGCATTCAAAAAGTTGGACTCTTAAAAAGAAAAAAGGAACCATAACGAACCATGATTTTCCTGTTTGGATTCATGTTCGTTGAATCTCTCAATATAAATCATTCTCTATGCACGATCATACGAGAATGTCTTTCCTTACTCCCGCAGAATACAAATTGCCCCGTTTCCACGACATAAACGAACTAAAATCACTGATCGCGTGGTGAGAGTGACGCAGGCGGTGCGGAGCTTTTCCAGCGATATGCAGCTACTCGAAGTGATCTAGTGGCCAAAAAGTATATAATATACAGATCTGAATTGCGTAATTGCGAGCCTGCAATTCGGGCTTCTACTCCCGTCGGTATTATAACGTAGAATAATATGAAGTGCGAACTTCTTGTGATTATCTCGTAGGAGAATGCAATAAGGTCCACGGGAAAACATTCCATTTGCATTTTAAGCTACACCAGGTAGTTAGATGATTGTCCTTTTTACAATTATCCTCAAACCACAACACGTGGCACGTAGACGTAAAAAGAAGAAAAGAACACTATGGCATCACGCAATCGTACATACATCACAATCACAACACGATCTACTTAAATTCCGAGCGAGTGAAACGCCGCTTATCTAGACGTATAATTTATCGCAGACGTTATACTTAATTTATATGCTGGTTTACCCTGGAAGTTTATTTTTGTGCCATTTAGGTGCGCGAGTAGTGTCTATATTTATTTTTTAGCAAGATTACTACACTTTAATAGTCCCGATGACACGTTCAATTGAAATTAACAGAAACCGAATCGATTATCTTCATTGAGAGTGCAAAACGCAAATGTATAAAATTGTTGTATATTACTCTCTACCGTACGTCTGTATATAAAGTTATTTCTATCGTGTTAAAACGCCATACTTACCATGTTTACTTATTAAAGGAACTATTTATAATCGGTTGGAAGTTCTTATTTTCCTCCCCAAACATGTCCTCATGTGTCGACCGTATTCATGTACCGACATTTATTTTTATAAACACGTGCGACACATTTGATTTGCGCAATACTGCCAAGTAATAGCCCTGACAGTCCTTCCAATATGATTCTTTTTGCCTTCATTGGACTATTATTTGCGCTCATTATGCGTTATACAGAATCATACAAAAGAATAACATGCTAATTAAGAGGAAAAGATACGTCGAAGCAAAAATTTGATTAGAGATTAAAGTTAATATCAATGACCGCTTAAACTGTAATATTATAAATTAATATATTACAGTACGCTGCAAAAAAATTATATCTCTAAATTGCTTGGAATAAAATTTCACTCGAAAAGTGACAGTTCAGTTAACTCGAGATCGTTAAGTGAATATTTTCATTCGAAATTGAAAAGTGAATCTGATATATTTCCATCAGAGGAATATATTCACTCTAATCGGTTGAGACATTCGTTCATGTGGAGTCAAAATCTAATCTTCATTCTTTGTTTCGTTGTGGCACTATTTTTATTAATGTTGTACGTGAAAATATTACCATGTTTCATTACAAAAAATTTACAGAGATATTTAAATTGATCTCCTATGTTCTTTCATTAAAAGAAAAATTAATTAAAAGAGTGACCGTTGTTGGATCAAACACTCAAACTCCTCCGACTCGAGCCAAAGGAATTGTCAGGCTAGTCCAAGTGGTCTAATTACCGGTGATGTAAGTACGAGTGTTAGAACACAAGTGAACTATGAGTGGAAGCTAAGTGAATGTTTCTGGTTGCAAGCTTAGTTAATTCTAGTCGGCGACTGCCGGTTAAAACAGAGCATGATTGTCTGTCGGGCGCGTGGGCCCTCGTCGCTTTGTTGCCGGCTAAGAAGAGAAAGCAAAGAACACGCGACAATGGAAGAGAGGGTGTTCGAAAACAAAAGAAGTTTATTACCGGGCTTGGGTCGCCGCCCCGAAACCGTAGGTTTCCCCCAGAAGGGGATGCTCGACAGAGAGGTCTGATGGGAGGGGGCCAACCGTGGTTCCGTCACGAGCTCACCCCCCGTCGTACTTTGTACCGCTTCTCTCTTAACTAGAACTTCATGAGCCGACATGGTCTTTATACGTAACACGTTGCGCGCGTAGAAGACGAAAAATCGACGATTTTTACTAATTTCTCTGCTTGATAAATTCGCTTCTTGAACCAGAGACGTGGTTGTAATTGCCTCCGAAAGAGGAACTGGAAACTGGGAAGAACAGAGGAGAAAATCGAGAAACGAATGTGTACATTGGTGAAGGTAACTCGAGAGTGAATTCACAGCATCTTTTCCGTAGTTCTTTCGACTTTTCACGAAATATCTGTGACCTGTCCGAACCACGACACTAACCTAGGACACAAAATCAAAATACGTGTACCTGATAGACATGCTCCTTCTCGAGAACGTTAATCAGCTTATCCCGACTTTCACTAACAAACTGGATGGACAATTAAAACTTTGGCCATCACGCTTGGCGTTTTGCAGGGGGACCAGTGGCGCACACAAGGGAGTGACCGTGTCCGTTTTATCTTTCCATTCTATCTCACGAATTATAAAATAATTATTAATAAATACATTTGTCATAAAATTAAATCGAATTAATATTATATGTTAATATTAATATTAATATTATATTTCTATAACAATACAAGATAATCATTAAGTTGTAACATGAAAGAAAGGGAGTTGTACATAATCACCTTAAACTATATCTTAAACGATATAACTACTTTTGATAGCATTTACATGAAAGTTTTCTGTGCACGTCCCTGATAGGGACATTTTGTCGGGGCTCAAAATAGCGTCGAAGGGGGATGAAGGAGCAAAGATCATTTGAAGGGCGCGCGGGGGGAGCGTCGAGGGCTTCGCGCGTCGTAACGAGGAAGGGGTACCCGGAGAAGAGGACGAGAGCACAGAGAGAAAGAGAGAAGAGGTGGAAGGGAAAAGAACGGGGGACGGACGATGAGGGTAGGGGGACAGAAGGAAAGCGAGAACAGGAGCCATTGTGCGAAAAGAATCAGGTACCGCTCGCGTATGCGTTTTCAGAAGGGGGTTCTCGCCCGTGGCGTGTTACGGGCCCCGGGCTGTCAGAAAGAAAGGGGGTGGGGGGCGAAAGAGAAAAGAAAGGAGAGGGGAGATAGACCATACGTGAGCGATGTGACTACCGTCGAACAACCGGCCCTCGCTTACTCTAACGAAAGAAAATCGATATGCATGATTCACGCACGCGAGAGCGTGCCGCAGGGGGTTGGAGGGGGACGAGCGGGGTGCTTTTGCCGGGGGAACAGAGGGTTGGAGAGAGAGAGAGAGACAGAGAGAGAACGAGAGAAGGGCAGAAGAAAGTCGAGTGACGGAGAGAGAGAACAAGGGAGAGGAGGAGTCTCTCTTTCTCTCTCTCTCTTTCTTTGGCAGCGCACTTCTCTCTTCCCTCGACCGCCTCGTTCTCGAAGCGCATGGGGGACGAGTCTTCGGGTGTACGACGTGGAGTAGTATAGCATACGCACGAATACGCGTGCACATTTACACGCAGCCCGACACACGCGTAATTCTATACACAGGCGCGCGCGCGCGCGCCTCCGCGTCTGTGACGGGAGGGGTATACCCCGCGATGCTACCCCCTCGGTCACTCGATCAGTCGTGTCCGAGGTACCCGCGCTGTCATAAACGGTCGCGTACACGTCCCGGCGTGTTTTCTTGGCCGGCGGCTACGCGCGACTTCCGGTTAACCGAGTTTTCACTACCCCGCGAGAACGTGTGTTTAACGCTGCGTGTTTTTGTGTATGTGTGTGTGTATGTATGCGTGTCTGAATGTGTGTAAATCGTGTAATTTTGGTGAGCTTATTATTATTCGGTGCCGCGCGAATATAAGGAAGAGTCTCGCTTCTCCGCGTGAATCACCGCGTTCTTCCGCTGTCGCGCGCAAAGGGATCGTTTTCGTGCTTCTCGGGAGCCACCGTGATTGGATCTCACTGAAATTACACCGGTTTTGATCCCCGCTTCTCATCACAAGTCTGTCTCTCGTCCTATACGCGTCGATGCTCGCATGGAATTCCAGAAGTGTGTTTTCGCACGAAACCGGGGAATTGCGCGTCGCCGAAATTCGTACGGACAAATACGATCAGCGTTCGTGAACGGAACGCAGAAGTATGTGTGAGAAATGTCCAACGATATTTAAGATACGTCTGTAAGACATTTGCAATTGGCGTGTCTTGTAAAAATATTATAAAGTGAAATTTAACGTCCATGTCGATCGACGCCGATAACCGGTTTCCGATCTCTCTTGGGAGAAGTATTAGATATTTTCGAAAACTGAAATTCTCGAAATCTGACATTTTGCGCGCGACAATTTAGCGCATTCCTGGCCAGTTGGATCCTAGCGATCAGGGCGAATCTGTAACTGCGACGAAATAATTCGCAAAACGAGAAGCCAACGACGCACCGCTGTAAACGCGGCTGCGCGCTTTTCCACCACGAGGTATAGTAACGGCGCAAGAATGAATGGGAGTGCGGAGAGGGTGAATCGAATCACCCCGCGAGTGTCGTTTGCGTTGTAAAACACGCGCCGACTCAATGAAAATAATATCAATGAAAATGATCAGTCACGGCGGGAGTTTGGAGTTCTGCGACATTCGACGTATCTGTTCGAGGCATTACCTTCTAATTGACTTACATTAGCTTTGCATTAAAAACGCTTATACATCTTAAATATAAATTCCTCAAAAGCTTACGTATTTTTTACTCAGAAATTGTACGACTTCTGTAAAGCAAGCTACATGAGCACATTTGAGTTTATTTTTATATCGAAATTAGGGCCAGGCTGTGATCGCTTATTGAAATCATCGAGTAATGAAGATAACAATAGTGTAACAAATATTGACAGCGTCTGATAGCGCATCAATGATACAATGACTCACGACTTAAAATTCGCACACTACTCTAGTTCGCAGCGAGGGTTGGTAGGGGCGAGAATTTACGCGCGTTAGATCCCTGATCGTGGAAGGATCCGTAGGACTTGCGCAATCGTTTTATACGCTCGCTCGAAGCCTGGTGGCCCGCGAGTTACAGCGTTGTAATAGGATTACGAGAGGGATGCGAGCAGATCGATTACGCGTAAACAACGTACGATAGCGGTCAACTTTTCCGTTGGATTGACAGTATGACTCAGAAAGCCGGATGTACGGACCAGGGAAAAATTCATGTGCAACGCGGAGAATTTGCATGACGCATTCGATGCGCCAAAATTCACGCCGTCCATGATGCTTCCGCTTCTCTATCGGTATAATCTAGGGATACGTTTACTCTTAAATAAAATTTTCCTGTGAGTAGAAGCTAACGGAAAACACAGCTGCCTCTAATCCTTTATCTAATCTTATGCTGCAATTCTAAACAGAATCGTAAGTCTCGTAACTTATTCTTATAAAATACGTAAGAACTTATGAGTAGATTTACAATTCTATGCAATTATATGTTATACAATTAAAATTATCGTAAATATCTACGATTTCATGTAATTTACGATATTTACAAATGATTGTACGATATGATATTGCATACAATTGTTAATCTACTCATAAATTCTTACGAATTTTACGAGGACAAGTTACGAGACTTACGATTGTATTTAAAATTGCAGTATTAATCTCCCGCGTACAATGTTAAGTTTATAAAGTCCAAATAAATATTCAATCCTTCATCAACTTCCGTAAAGATTCGGGAAAATTTCAAAATATATATAACACAAATCTGTTTGCACACTTGGATTTTATTCCGCCACTATTTTATAACTATTTTATGTCTCTGAGAGAAAATATACCCAAAAAGATCGATTTTTAACAAAATTATACATTGAGAGAAAAAACATTTAAGAAATAGTAAATATTTACTCTGTAGATATATATTTGCTAAGATTTAAATTCTTTTATATCTTTAAATTTCTTTAGATAGC